CGTTTTATATAACGTTTATATTTTATAACGTTTGCTTGGGTAAAAAAAACAATAGATTTTTACCCAAATTCAATGCAAAAAATCCTGTTTTAACTGCGCACGCGGATTATTCGCGCAGAGACATCGCGTATTCTATACACGCTTATTTATTTCGAAAGCGCGAGATCAATTAAACTACACGGTTTACGCTACGTAAGTTTTGTCCGGGGGTTTTTAATTCTGAAAACAATCGGTTTTTCGAGAAATAAAAAGATCTTAGATGGTGGCCTAATTATATAGGTAGAAATATAATTATTCGATTATTCACACTCGCTCGGCCGAAAATGAAAAGAGTGTGCTGATGCCCGGGGAAAAAAACGGGGATTTATGAGCTATTACGATTCGTTCTACCGAAGGCAGAGCTGAACGTAACGTAGGAGAATCAGAAGGAAAAGACCTTTCTCAGCCATCTGTGGTGAATTGTACCGAAGCAAGCGTGCTGGCTGCTTTAGCATCAGCTGGTATAGCTCGCAACACACGAAAAGTTACGGCTCTCGCAAAAGTGTACCAATACAATTCTTCCTTATTGTTTAGCGATAAGATAATTTGTCTTTTGCGAATCTCGAAGGTATCTTCATTATTCGATGTAAATAAGTGCGGAGCAGTGGGATAACTCACGCATGTAGTCTCTGATAACAATAAAGTACATCAAAATTGATAGAAATACATTTTACATAGTTACTTTTTTTTTTAATAAACAAACAAATATCGCAAGCTTTAAAAACTTGATACAAATGTTTTTTTTCTTTTATAAAACTTGCGCGTAATAAATACTTAGCATCGCGTTTTTTTTAAATCCAATTCTAATATTCAGTCGCACTAAAAATAAATTTCTTTTGACAATGAAGTGTAGTTATTCATTTAGTGAATAATCTTCGAATTGTTTTCCGCCCACATACAAAAATATTCAGAAATAATCAAACAAGCTAATAAAAAACCACATATAGATGTATAAATATTGCGATTTGTGTATTAGAAACAACAAACAATTGCAAATGCAACACCGGACTAAAATCGGTCTTCTTTCCGCGAATTGCGCGTCAACATTTATTTTCTGCGACGACAAAACGCGTTCTCATGTACTTTTGACAAGAGAGACTTGACGTTCCTCCCGTTCCGAGTCTTTCGTCGGGCAGGAAATCTCCGTGGCGCGTTGCGCGCCCGTCTTCGGCGAAGACGGGCAGGAAATTTCGATCGCTCGTTTGACGACGCGAAAGTAACCAACGTGCATGACACACGAGCGAGGAGAAAGGAGGGAAGGAAGGTTCGGAGGGCTCTACTGCTCGCTCTCGCGCGAGGAAACTGGCTTAGCGATATGGGCGGCCGCGTTCACGCGCGCGCGTAAGAATATAAAAACAAGAAGACCGGATGACTGCTAACTGTTTGTTAGTCTTGGGTTTTAAAGTCCGCGCGTCTGTCAGTCCAGAGACGTAATATTAGTGCTTAGCGCACGTTGCCGCCTCCGCCGCCGCAACTCCCGCTCATTCACTCTTCCTTCTCTCTCTCTCTCTCTCTCTCTTTATCCACCCTCATCCTCCTTGTCATTGCGCACCCCGCGCAATTTTCTCTCGTCCTTCTCTTCCGATTTCTTTTCTTGTATTTCTCGTCTCTCCGCTTTTCAATCATCTTTCCGCGAACCATCTACATACAATTGACATTAGCGTGTATTACCGCGCTGATTGCACGCGATAATAACATTTCAATCACTTTCTTCCCAAGTCTCCTCGAAGTAATAAGCAAAAAGTTTTCAACGTTTGCGCGTGTCACGTGATACAAGATACGACGGAAAATTATAAAAAAGCTTCACCTCATCATTATACAAAACCACTAATTAGGTCGAAAGATTCTTCGGAATTTTCCATTGCAGATTTAACATAAAAAAAAATAATCACAGCCAAGTGTGCGACACAGTGAGATTATCGCGAGCTCAACGAGCGCTCTGCTCATCCGCGCGCCTTTTTTTCTTCGATAAAAAGCACACCGATATCTCGTGCTCGAAAAGGTGCGCGGACCGTTGTTATAAATAGTCCTCCGAGATTGCTCGGAGGACCCAGAAGCAGAACGACACGGTGTTTTAGCGGCCATTCTGGAAAAATAAACGAGCGCGGTCCGCGTACGGGAACAGATGACTCCGCCACGCGGAGATGCCAACTCCTCCTCGTTAGAGTGACAGCCGCCGTGGTCGACGATTGTTTTTCAGTTTACGTTAAACGTTTCGCTTTCGTTCCGATACGGTCGTTGAACGAGACCGACGTTTCGCGTTCGGCGCACACACAGATCTTTATTGACCCGCGCTCGGTTAAATCGGGCTCAGAAGAAGCCTCTCCTCTCCGTGCTGAAACTATTTGATTTTATGGGACATCTCCAGTTGCTCTCTTCGCGCGACAGGCGACGACGAGCTTGTTAAAAGGGTAATCCCCCTCCTCCCCGCGCCCTCAGCTTGAGGGCGGAGGGCGCTTTCAGATCCACGAGAGAAACGAACGTCGACTTTCTTTTGCGTAACGTGTCCGCCGGGACGTGTCCGCGAGAAATATGATGACTTCAATACGGAGATTTCGCTTCACAGACGCGCGCTTATAGCTACTCCCTTTTAATCGGTCATCTTGTCTCTCTCTCTCTCTCTCGCTCTGTGTATTGCTCCTCTCGAATATAAAAGTCGTCGCGTTCCACCCACTCTCTCGTGGGGACGCGCTCTCGTCGTCGCGCGATCTCGATATTTCGAGCGATTGCTCACGGCGGAAAAAGAAATATCCGAGTGGCAGAAATCGAGCGAAGGAGGAGACGACGGAGAGAGGCAACAGAGTGTAGCGAGAAAAGAGCGCAAAGGACGAGCGCGGAGGGCGGAGGAGCCTGATGTCACTCTCTCTCTCTCTCTCTCTCCTTTCCTCTTACTTTTTCCCTCTTTCTCTCTCACGTTCGGGGGTAACTGGAATAAGGTATAATTTTCCGCGCCAATTAAGGTCTTTAAGAATTGCGACCAATTGAGCGGGAAGGTCAAAGCCTTAGCTTTAGGGGAGAGATGTACCACCAGGTCTCCCCTATAATTTATTATTGATTAGATTGGATCGAGAAAAAGAGGTCTTGGTATGTAGACTTAAGATTGGTCTGAGACCGTCTATGTATATATAAGTGTAACGAGCAACTGACGTCGTTTTTCCAATTTCCGTTCCGGACGCTTGAGGCATATAATGAAAGTACTTGATATACGATCTCTCTCTCTCTCTCTCTCTCTCTCCCTCTTTCCCCTTCTTTTTCTTTCTCTCTGTCTTTTATTTAGAAGTTTACAAGTGTATTAATTACAGATAATCATTAAAAACAACGTGAATTCTCGCGCGTATATCGTTTACAATTTGGCAGATTTTTGTCTTGCCAATCAGGATTTTGTATTTGCTTGTTTGTATTAAATCAAAAATAGATTTTCGCACACATCGATTAGAATCTTCTCATTTGCTCGCATGTTTCTAATTACTTTCGCAGTTAAAAAAAAAAAAAAAATATGCTACGCATCTTACGAACACCGAGAGAGAGACTAAAGTATTTTTTCTCATATCTCGATATCTCGGATGCGCGAGATCATCATCGGATCAAGTCAACCGTAGTCTACGTTCCTGCGGTTCACACTTAATTAAACCGCCATAGGAACTCGGCTGCCTGCACGTGGCGGACAATACCGCGAGTCTTTAGCGGCGATTGTTATGTAAAGCACACCCTATATATGCACCGCGCAGTTTCTCTCGTATCGTATCGAGACGAAAAGTACGTAGGTACTGTCTCGCTTAAACCCATGTACAGAGAGAAAGAGAGAGAGAGAGAGTAAGAGTGAGTGTGTCAGAGAAAGAGAGAGAGAGAGAGAGAGAGAAGGAACTTTTTGAAAGCATTAGCTGCAATTCAACTTCGATCGTTTTTCACTGACTGAGCGACGTGACCGCCTCTCGAATCGCAATTCTCATACTTTGCGAAATGAGCACTTTGACGTTATTTCCGAAGTGTTATATTTGTATAGTTTCTTGCTATTTGTCTTCTAATAAAGACACATTTACAGTCTATTTTCATAAAAAAAAAAAATTCTGAAATATGTACACGCGTTACATTAAATGTAAAATTTCACTTAAAAATATCGTCGTGTGTGTTTTAATCGTGATGTGAACTGCTGATATGTTGTCGCACGCTTTTAATTTCAATTGCATGTTATTAACAAGCGACGATATTTATGACAAAGACTATATATAGTGCGAACAATTTTTGCGAGAACTTTTAAGCAGCTTTTACGAGAAAAAAAAAAAAAAAAAAAGAAAGAAATAAGTCTCCAAAGTGCCTGGGTGTTTTCGGCGAGGTCAGCTGCTGCGATGATCTAAAATCCTCGCGATCCCACTCCAGTTCGTGGAATCTTTTCCGGGTTTGCCGTCTCCGTCTGGATTGGCCATCGGGGAAAAGCGACGTCGCGGGAAATGCCGCGGATTGGCCGTAGGGCGAGGCTTGCGTCGTGACGGAAGCGTCGCGTCCGGCCGCACGTAGGACACTGAAAGCTCCACCTACCTCAGAACGTGCGGTACTCGCGCGTGCAAAAGCTCTCGGAGAGAGAGCTCGTGAGATCGAGAGAGGGTGGGCGCCTGTACTCGCGACGAAGAACGTCGTCGAGTGCGTCGTCAAGCTCGTTAAGGAGAGGAGAGTAAAATTTTCTATGACACACGTAGCGTGAAGAAATCGATCGATATCTTACACAGTTCGCGAGAATATATTGTCAAAATTCGATACGAGTCACTTGTGATTGAGAGATAACACAATACATTGTTGTTTAAATTTAAAAAAATATATTTTTCTCTTTCTATTAAATTAAGAAAGAGAAACGGGAACGGAGAAAGAGAGAGAGAGAGAGAGAGAGAGAGAGAGAGAGAAAAAGAAAGAGAGAAGGGCGAAGAAGAGCAAGCGCCTCTCTTAGGTGGGGGTTGTGCGAGCAAAAGAGGGAGGAAGGGAGAGAGAGCTGCGGATTGAGTGGTAATTCGAAAAATAAGTCCTCGCGGACGACAAGCACACTTGACCGGAGCACACTCGAACCGAAAGGGTCCGAGCACTTGGGAATAACAATTAATAACGCCAGTCGCGATTCACCGAGCGATCCTCGGACCTACATAACGAAGGGTCTCTCTTCGGGAATTATGTGAAGGCAGAACAACACACACTGAATCCATCCATTCATCGACCGATCCTCCGACGTGACGGTCACTGACGGGGCCTCAGGAATCAAGAAAGAATGAAAAAAAAGTTATGAGGGAAAGAAGACGAGACGATTGTGATCTTACATATAGTGACAACTTGTGACATGTGACGCGATGAATATTCTGGTGCGCGGACAATGAACGATGATGGTCGCGAAGACGGAAAGCTGAACAGAGAGAGAGAGAGAGATTCGAAGAGATAGTTACGTGCTTAAAGGAACGGGGAGGAAGAGGAACGTTTTTGAATCTCGAGAAAACTATTTTTTTGCGTGACAAAATCGCGAGGATCTGAGAGATAGAGAGAGGAAGCGAAGTGATGGAGGACGAGAAACACAGCGAGGCCTCGCCGAAACCTTCTCAACCGACACCCTTCAGTATCGCCGACATCCTGAGTCGAAGAACCTGCGCGAACACGAAGAGATGCGACTTGGAGAAGCTCCAAGTCGTCTCGGCGCCGATAAAACGACACAATCGGGATTACGAGCGTATTGAAAATGAACACGTTGACGGGAATTACGATCATCACGAGCAGATGATTCATTATCCGAGAATGCCGCCCCGGGAATCCGTCAGTCCGGAGCTGAGCATGGCGCACGAGTTGGATATCTTGAGGAGGAACCTGGCGCAAGCGAACTTATCGAACTTTGGTCGCGTTACCCACTTGACTCAGGACACTTTCAAGCATCACCTCGAAACTCTGGGAAACACAATGACGTATCACTCACCTATCAAGGAACCGGAACATTCTCACAGACAGCAGGACGAAGCGTTGGACATGAGCAAAACCAAGTACTTAGGTACACGACGCGCGCTGTTTGCGCGAATTTGATTTTTTTTTGGTTTTTTTAAATTACGCGAGTTCTCATCTCCCCCCCGTATTGTCGAACAAATTTTTCCCAAACTTTTGTCTAAAGCGACATCGAAGTGACGTCTGTATAATGAATTTTTCGTGTTGAGAACTTTTCGGTGGCAAAACGCTTGAAACGCGACGAGAATCGGAAATAATTTATTTAAAAAAAGAAAAGTACGTTGCAATTTTCTTGTAAAGAATTTTTTTCACCAAACATTTCGAAAAACAAGATCGGAGTTTTTAAAGAGACGAAACGACAAACGTGTACGCGCGCAATAAGCGCGCGGACAAAAAACAATTATCTTCGGGATAGAAAAAAGATAAGCGCGCAAACCTACCGGTGGAAGACCGTCTTTGCGTCGAGAGAGCACGAGGATGCGAGCTTAAGAGGTCATTTAAGCAGATATGCGCGTAACACAGGCGAGCTCTTTTCAAGGGTTTTTTAAAAGTTAACCCGAGCGCGCGCAGATAACGTAATTGAATGTAATTTTAGTAGCATAAGTGGCACTCGACCGGGCAGACGTCACGAGTGCCCCGGGTCTTATACTTCTTGCACTTGTTCGATCTCTCCGGTTCGTTTTCCTTTCGTCTCGTCTCGACGCGCGCGCAAGGATCACATTCGTGAATTACAACAAAAACCGTTTTAGATCAAGGTTGCGATCGACGAGCACTATTTCCGAACAAACATTTCGCGATTGATTTATTCGCGACAGATGCAGCGCCTATGTAGATCGCACCAGGTTGCACGCGGCAATAATTCTCGGTTAAACGTTTTCGCGGTTTTCATTTTCGCATCAGACATTTCACATCACGTTTCAACAGAGAAACAACGTTAAGGCCGCGGATGTGATGTAAAAAACGACGCGACAGTAGTAGTAGTTTTTTTTTTTTACATCGCGAACCCTTAGCTCTCATCATATGTCGTATTTGCTTCGTAATATTCGACCTCGTTGCGAAGAGCGTATAGAGTTACACATGACCGAATAGTGTTATCTTAGTATTACGAGCAAACAGATATTTTTTCCCTCGATCGGCGAAGCACCGGCTACCGAAATCAATCACGATTACAACAGCGCGTTAGCGGGGATGATATAAAGAGTTATCAAACAAATATCATATCAAACGCCAACCAAGCTTAGATGAATTTTCGAATTGAATTCAATTCGAATTTCCATGTGTATTAATTTATTTACACCGTACGTACATCCGGTATAGAGGCTTCTATTAATCTTAAATCTAAGTTGTTAAATTTTATCTCGTCTTTAATAAATTTCGTATGGGAAAATTTTTTCATTCGTCGTGATGTGATTTTCTTTGAAATTTTGCAAAGGAGCGAACGCACGGCAGAGCTGTGGGAATTATTGCGCAGCTTTGAGTCTCATTTTTCTGAAATTTGTTACCGTGTTTGACAAGAAACGTGTTTTTTTTTTTTCTAATAAAAATAATCGATAAGATATTGTCGCCGATGTCGTTCGAAACAAGATCGCGTTTTGTTTTTTTCGTACAACGTTTTGTAAAACATTTTTTAGGAGATTTTATAGATAGAATATAGTTTCACGTAAAAACAACAACGTACTTAACGAAGGGAAGACGTTTTTCCTCTTAAACGAAGGATCGTCACCCTGAGACCGCGCGCGAGACACGATAGCATTGTTTGCAGCAGCGCGGCTCGAGGGTGAAGAGGCACGAGCTGGCACCGATTCAAGGTGCACTCAGAAAATTACGAGTCCACTTTCGAGGGGAAATCTCACCAGTCATTTAATATGATAATGGACAATCCAATAACAACAAAAAATCGGCTTGTTGTCACAACAAATTGTTCTGAGCTTCTTGTTGCGGTAATAAAACCGAGTAGTTAAATCCCTCTCGAGACTTCGGCGTGTCGTGTAGCGCGACAGAAAAACCGAAAATCTCTTTTATATATATATATATGTATACAGAAATCGCTTTATACATGAAAATATATATATATATATAGCGGTCTCGAAGGATCTCATCGATGTAATCAGAGTCGGCCGACGCCACTTGCTCGTCTCTCGATATAGAGACACACGGTCTATAGGATGTTTGACGAGCGCCGAAGGATGGACGCATTAGCCGGACGAGATGGCATCTAGTTGACGTCGAAAGTGATCAAATATAGATCTCTCTAAATGCCTCGTATCCTCTGCAACCACGGATAATAAACACTGACGTAGGTTGAAGCGTTTTGAGCGCGTAAGTCATTGTGATGTGCCGTCGCAGAGATCTGACGCGAGTTTGCCGGTAAAACAAAAATTTAACAAAATTTATCCGAAAGAGAGAGAGAATTCAGTTTGTTTCATTCGCGTATTGAATGTATCTAAAACGCTTGAGCAGTTTTTGCTCAATGTCCTCGGATTAAGGCCATTGATGTAAGTTTGAGACTGTGGATTCTATTTTTTTTTCTTTTTTTTTTTTTGGCTACACCGTAAGAAACGATATACGCATTAGCGAAGTAGAGGATCAAGCTTCAACCCGAAGCGCGTTGCCAAGTAGAAGTAAGCTAGTCTGATCTGCAATATGACTGTACTCTAGTGGCACTGGTTAAACTTAGAGGAGAATTACCATGGAACAGGGGAGCGTAAACATGTCGGAGTAGCGAGTACATGTGTTAATGTTTGTGCGAGACATCAAAAGCATCACGAAGCTCTCTTTCTCGCTTCTCCTTTCGCGATCGTCCTCGCCGTTCTCCCTGACGACCGCTCGTCTCTGACGGTTACTCCGACTTTCGGTCCAAACGAATTGCTTTACGATATAGTTGCAGATTCTCGCGCAAAACCCAAATATTTATCCGCAAATGCGAATTCGTACGCGTTTGTATACGCGTTATTCGGAAAACGAGAGACTTTGCCCCCCCCTTACCCCCTTTCCTTTCCCTTTTCCTCCCCCCGTCTGATGTACAAAGTAGCTTTTCGATATGCTAAAAAACAGAAATATTTTACGTAACGATGAATACTTGTGGTAATTTTATTTATATTGCAAACACCAGGAAAATGTGCGTTACTAGATACGTAAGAAACGTTCCATAGAAATTTTTTACGAGGAAAATTTTTTAAACCTCTACTGTAAAATTATAAAAAGTATGACGTCACATGTGTCATTATACACGTGTCATTTAAACGAGACGTTCATTCGTGTGTGTTGCAGACGAGACGGAAGACGACGCGTACGAGTCGCAAAGCTCAGGTCAAAGTATGCAGAGTAGAAAGAAGCGCAGCAGAGCGGCCTTCTCGCACGCGCAAGTGTTCGAGCTTGAAAGGCGATTCGCGGCACAAAAGTATTTGTCGGGTCCGGAACGAGCGGATCTGGCGCGTGGCTTGAAATTGACGGAGACGCAAGTGAAGATCTGGTTTCAAAACAGACGGTACATCAGTTTGATCTTTTTTAACACGCGCGTTATTTAGTTTTTTTTTTTTGAATTTTAGAATAAAAATATCGAAAAGGATATTTGTGCGATAGAGAGTTTTTTTTTTATTGCTCACGTTTCTACTTGTCGCGGCACCGTTTTTTGTGTATAAACATCGTTTGTTAAATTTCAGATACAAAACCAAACGACGACAACAGCAGGAATTGGGCGCGCTCGTGAACTCTGGTAGCGCCAGACGCGTGGCGGTGCGCGTTCTGGTACATCCGGACGAGCACTTGAGAGGATTACCTCTTCGTGGTTCCGGCCAAATTCCCGGACAACTATCGGGCCCGCAAATGCATCCCGCGGCGAACAAAGCAATCGCCGGTTTCCCGTATTATTGTTTGCCGTATCATCCGCTACTCTGCCCGCCCTTGCACGCCACCCACGTTCAGGTACAAAGCCCGATCACGCCCGATTTCGATCCCACCCAAATCTCGAAAATCAAGGATGAGAAATAAGCGAGACGGAACATAATAATTCTTGTTTGTTTTTCTCTTGTTTCTCGATCTTTTTTAGAATTACACGTGCACATGTTACATCTCCCACCGGATTTGCCAATCGTCTCTGTCGTAGATCTCTGTCGTAGATCTCTCTTCTCTCTCTCTCTCACACACACGCGAGTATTTATTATTATCAAATTCCAACGACACGCAATATACGGAAACAAACGTGTAAATTAGCCTGTAAATAAATGTATAAAATATATAACACACGGACTTTTGAGTCTCCTCCGACATAGATACATATATATATATATATATATATTTTTTTTTGTTGTTTTCGGACACGAAATTCTAAGTTTACGAAAGATAAAAAAGTTTTAATTGCGATAGTTCAAAAGTGACCTTTGTTGATCTTTTTCAGTGTTTTACACTTTGTGAATTTTCGTATTTTAAGAGACAAGGTCAAGCAGCGCTCATCTTTAGACGATACTTTATACGTTGCGACACGATCGATTCTCACATGCGCGCGTTTTGTTCGAATTGCGCGAACGTGGAAATTGGCGTGATTTTAGTGTATGTACAAAGCGAAAAAAACATTTGTATGTGTCTCTCGGGATTTTGTCGAGAGCGAAATGTGTGCAATTCTTTAGCGAAAAAACGTGTGCAATGTAAAAACCAAAAACTTGTGTATTTAATGCCCAAATAAAATTTGTTTAACGTGCGTCACGAGTCTGTCGTGTTCGAACTCAATTTGAATCACACACATACACACACACACACACACAATTGTTTAAGTACACTACATAGATGATTCACGTAAATGTCTTTAAATATATGTATATCGTCCACACGATCTGTCGTCTGAGTGTTCTTGTCACCGAACTCTTCCTCTTTCTCCGGAATCCTCTCAATTTTTTCAACGAAAGCGCAACGCGTCGTCGCAGGTGGAAAATGAGAAAATTTTTTCAGGGCGGCGTCGCAACCGACTTTCTCATAAGGGTTTTAATGGCTGCGTCTGGGTGGGCACGACAGACATCAGATATGTTTATTCAGACGCGGAGATGAACAGGCTTAACCGACACGGACGGAGAAGAAAAAACCTAGATCTGACACTCGTACGTTGTAAACAAAAGTGTTACATTGCCCTCGTCGAAACGCTCTTTTACATTCCGCCACGTAAATTCTTACGAGACGCGCCTTTTGAGTGCCGCGAATGGAATTACTGGTTTTTAATTTATTTGTATGTTTGGACTTCTCAAGTACCTAATTGCGTGCATTCGTGCAAAGTAATTACAGTGAAGAGAAAAGAGGTTTTTACTCTCTCTCTCTCACACTCGATCGGTTGATTTATCTATCCGTCAAGTTAATTATACATGACTCTTTTACACAAAAAAAAAACATGGATTATTTAAAGTTTAGATGATCAGAGTAAAAAACATTTATATAGATATTATATCTCCAGATGTCACGCGCATCATTTCATTTATTTATATGTCGTACAATAAAAATATATAGTATATATTAAGTTTATTATAAACAAAATTATTTACGGATATTATATTTTGTGTTATGACAAATGATGTTAAGAAAATTCTGAGCATCCAGTAACAAGAATAAAAAAACATTGTTATTTTATCTTATTTTTTCGACACAAGCGCTCATTCTATAAAAATCTGAATTTTTCGGATGAAAGAGAATTTACGACCGTCCGCTTCCCGTAATTCGTTATTTTTGGGATTTTTGAGTACATCAATAAATAGGAGGAGGTGGTCAGCACGATTCTCGTGACGCAAGCCGCAAATTATTACGATGAGTTTCGGCACTAACAGCGACTGGTACGTCGACACAAGGCCTCGTTTAGCGCAAGAGCATTATGGCTTTACAATGTTTAGAACTGTTCTAAACGGAGCAATAATGGACTGCAGAAGCGACTATAAAGCGTCTCTACATCGCTGATTTTCGCTATTACGCGCATTCAAGCGCACAAACACAGAAAACGTCGTCGGTTTAATTATTGTAATCCGGAACGACACACTTTTCGATTATATAACAATATAAGATTAGAAATTAGAAAAGGTCACTCAATAAATTCTGAAACTCTTTAAAAAAAAGAGTTTTTTGTCGTTATTTTATTAATAAAAACAACTTGTAACGCTATATATGGGCCATTCGGTGTAGATATAAACCATTTTCAACCCTTGACTCATGAATTTACCATCGACGTGACTGTAACAAGCCAGCAATTTGCAGCGGGAGTACGTTGGTTCGGAGTGCACCACTGACGGACTCGTCTCGTAAAACGAGAAAGGAACGATTTAACGCTCAATCAACCGACGAAAGCTAATTTTCATTAGCTGTTAATAGCACAAGACCACCCTCTCCCTTGATCACCCTCTATGGTGTGCTACGCCTTAACCCCTCACTTCACCCTTCCCCGTTCTTCGAGCGCGTGTCTTTCGTTTGTCACCAGAAAGCTTCGCTCATTAATTGAACATAGAAACTGCTCAAAAGTTTACTCTAACGCGCAAAATTTTCTATCTTTAATCATTCGTTTGAGATAAAAATGTGTAACAAAAAATATAATATACTCGATAATATAATGTCAATATTTTAGAGAAATTCGGCGCAGTGTCGATAAAGAGATTTATTTAGAACAATTTTTTTTTATTTATCAAAATAAAAAAAATCGCAAATTGAACTTATTGTTCAGTGAATTTCCAGAGATGAGTATACCGAGAGAACTCGATTTGACGCAAAAAATTACTCAAGCAAGATCGATTTGAATATCATTTAAAAAATCGTACAAAGAGGACAATTCAGCTCGCGGCTACACAGGCCATTATCAATTTCGCACGAGCCATTTGCGCGTGCGGGGTAAAAAAAAAGCCCACCTTTTTCACAAGCGCCTGTAGTAGCCTCTTATACAATAGGACGTGAAACAGGCAAGCGAATTTGAAAGTACAATTGAGCTATTTTTTTTTTTTTAATGTTAAGCATTACCGCGCGCAGTAATTTGTTATGTAGAAAAGAGTCAAAAAAGAGCGTGTAAAAAATATTTAACACGTATGAGAACGTGCGGTTGTTAAAACAAAAAGAAGAAAAAAAAAAAAACAACAATCGAAAGATGTATCAGGTTTTTCATATTTTCATGCGCGGCGCACAAATCTGGTTTCGCCATCCCCCTCGAAGCTTTATAAACGCAATTGCCGGTTCCAAGTTCGAGATTTCAGCCGTTACTTTCGTCTCTGTCGTCACTTTTTCTCATCTCTCTTATATACCATTCTTCCGAGTTCTGACACGCGTTTCAATTGGGATGGTTGCCAAGGAAACCTAGGAACCGGAGTGTCACATAGACTATTGAAGACGTTAAAGGGGACACCTTTCCGTTTCGCGGAAAACATTTCAAAACGCGACGGATAGGACTTACAAAGCCATAACGAGAATCGAGATATTTCGATTTTTTAGATTCTCTGATAAGAAGTTTCACACTTTGCGTCTGTCTAAATGTTATTCTTGTTGACGCATCAAATGTTCAATTAATGTTATCAAGATAAACAAATACGTAACATAACAATCTTTTTCTTTTTTAAAACATTTAAGACGTATTGTAAAAAACCATTAAAAAGATTATAACAGAGAAGGAAAAAGAAAGAGAAAGAGAGATAATATATTCGTCATAACAATTCAAAAAAATTGCACATATGGATTTTATATTTACTATATTTTCCCCCTCAAAAAAGAGATGACGATCATTTTGTGCTTTTAAATCGAAGAGAGTAAAAAACTTTTTACTGTAAGTTTTTATCTTAAAAACGCTGTAGGTGTTCTCATTTATATTCTCTCACGTGCAAAACTTTTTCTTTCCTTCAATATTGCTGCGTTCTCTACTTAGAGTTTGCAGTGGCGGGAGAGAGAAAATCACCTCGAGTATATATCGCGAATCATCAAACGAGTAACGACGCTTGAAGAGAAGAAGAACTTGCCGAGCGAACTGCGGAGGAAACCGTTTCCTCCGTTTTTCCGGCATTTCAAAGAAGCAATTTAGCGATTTTTCGTGGCGAAACGCCGTCGAGGAAAATTGACGTACGAGCAGCCAATCAGCGGTGTTTCATGCAGCTGCCACCGCTCAAAGAAATTCTTTCAAATATATTTCTCTTAAATTTCTCGTACTTATTATAAGAACTATACTGTAAGATAAACGTTCGTATTCTTTATTAATGTTAATACCTTTAAGTTCTTTGTACTCTAAAATAAAAAATATGTTTTGTAGCAAACTGATAAACTGTTTTCTTTTTTTTTTATCAGTAATATGTAATTAATATGTAATTTACTCTCGTGTAATTATAATATCAAAAACAATGTGAATAAAATTCAAAAACAAATTTCTTCCTTTCTCATTCCGATGAGTTTTACTGCTAATAAAATAATAAAAGACAGTTACGCTGAACAAATCTAGTAATCTAACACAAGTCTAAATAAATTATATTAGTATACATACTAATATAAATTATTCTAATACTTTGACTTAAAATATATGCGAGAAATATATTTCTTCTATTGAAGAAACAGAAGTAGAAACAGAAATTAAATTCAAAATCTATATACAATGAAGTAGACAGCATAGAAAGGCCAAAAGACATCTTAAAGATCTAAAAGACAATAAAACGTTTTTTAAGTCGTCTTTTAGAGACATATGCTGTCCAGATACAATATTAGTTTTTAAACATATTTGTTTTCGAAACATAGAGCGCAGCACGTTTCAATATCCAAAAATATTAACAGAGAACGACAGTTTCAGATGCTGGCAAATTGGATATTGAAACTTGTAGGCTATCTGTTAGAGAAACATATGTATATACTGCTGGTAACATGAGTTGTCTCCGATCAATACCATTTGGTTTGAGTTTGTGCTGCATTTGTTCGACACTGTCGATAAGTTTCTTTTTTTTATATAAACTAGCACAGGTGCGCGCTACGCGCACGCTATTTTTATTTTTATTTAACGTGTTGTTAGTGAACACAACCTGTTACCGCGATGACAGATAGTATATACGTCTTATAAACCATATAATACACATATGAGAAATGTCAGAAATAACGCATGAAAATCAAACTCAAAAAGTAGTAAGAGAGAGAAGTGGAAAAACAACACGTGACTAAAGTTACGTGACAGGGAAAAG